TTCGGTGCCTGACATTTGTTCTTAAAGTGGCCCTGTCACAAAAAAAATTAATTAAAAATCGAATCTGCTTCTATATAGTCCCCTGTGTCTAAATCTTATTTTTTGCCCTCAGTGTTCTAGTTATCATAAAAAATCTAAATAAAAGCAGTCAAGTTGACAAAACTTTACAATGAGTGGAGCTTAACCCCTTAAGGATCAAACTTCTGGAATAAAAGGGAATCATGACATGTCTGACATGTCATGTGTCCGTAAGCAGTTAAGCAAGGTTCTTTTTCAGTTGCCAATCAAAGTTACCCACAACCCATCAGTAAAATCAATCCCACAGAAAAGCAAACAGCAGACATCATGGCTGAGTAGAACAAAATGGCAGAGCCCAGGTATTGAGATCTGGCACATGGAAGAAAACATACTAAATATAAATAACGCAAGTAGAAAGGGGGCAGGGATGTAATCATTAAAATGGAAGAGGCACTAGGAAGGAAAAACTAAAAGAAAAAAAAAACAATGACAGGGCCCCTTTAAGCCCCAGACGCTGATGGTTGTTATTTTCATGAGGACACTACTCTAATTATCATTTGTACACAAACACTGCAGTTAGCAGTCACTTGCTGGACAATCTACTTCTGCATGACTGTACAGATTCTATCCAGGTCATTCACCCTTGTTTCCTGAAAAACACCATGAACTTTTTAACTATGGACAGACACTTTCCTGCTCTCAAGGTACACTTCCTGAGACTTTCCTCCGAAAAATAGATGCTTCCTATGAGATATCAGCGGAGAATCATGAAAAAAAAAAAGTAAATAAAATAAAAAATAAAAAAATCATGACCTCGCTGAACCCAATAGGAAATATTCAAATTCTGGCAACAGTGGAGCAGTGGTTTGGATAAGTTACCAACTGGTCCAATTAGACAAAGATAAAAAGCCTAATGAACATTCCAGCGGTTCTATGAAAAATGCATGGAATTAGGAATTACAAGCCCCAACGTTTCTCTGTCACTGTCTGTTCCTAGGCTGGGAAAAGACAGAGCTACATAAGAATCCTATTACATAACGGCATACATCCAAGCACTCCCATGTGTCAGAGTCAAAACATGCCCCAGAAAATTAAAGCCCAGCTAAAATAAAAAACAAACAATCCAGAATGCTCCAAATTATGTGCTGTGGGTGTCTTATTTACATGGCTGCAAGGGGAAGGGCTGTGGAAGAAATCCCAGAAAAATATCTTCATGCATGCAACTGAAATATAGCACAATGCTTCCTTTGTTACAATAAAAAATGATGCAATTGTTCTGCATTCTAAACTAGAATAATCCAAGTGCAATTAAGGTAAAGGTCTACAGAGGAAGATGTGTGCATTGTACTATGTACACAAGAAAATGGCCTTTTAAAATTGTCCTGGCAATAGGCTTTTTTTCCGTTAAAGGGGAACACAAGTCAGTTGAGCAAGGATCAGATAACTGACAGTTGCACATTCTTTCATTCACGCTGAGGATGATTTACAGAGGGCAGCTCAGGGCTGCAGCAGACACGTGAGTCAGCAGGAGCAGCTGCCTGTAGGAAACTGCTGACAAGCTGTATTGTTCTCATACACAAACCATTACACACACACACACATCAACCTCATAAATAAAAGATGGGTGTATGTAAATTGGTCACACTAGCAACACCTCGCTACTCACAGTCAGGGCTGGACTGGGAATACAAAGCAGCCCTGGAAAAAATGTATGCCAACCCTATAAGACATTGTGCCACGTAGTGTGGATATATATTTTATAGATATTCTATATATAGAAATTATTCAATCATCTGGAGTAGCAAGACATATTTTAAATGTTACAAAATATATTTAACATTATCAATGAAGATAGATAGATAGATAGTAGAAAAGTTAAATTATACAGTAAGCATACTCACATGCAGGCACAGACAGACAGACAGTCAGACAGACAGACAATCTCACTGACACAAGCTCACCATACACAGGCTCACAGACAGACAAGTTCATTGACACACAAACTCATTGACAGAAAAACACAAACTCACTGATACACACAAATAGTCTCACTGCCAGACAATCTTACAGAAACACAATATCACTGACATACACAGACAAGCTCACTGGTACACACACACACCCACATACTTAGTACAGACAAACTCTCTGTCACACACACAAGTTTACTACAGACAAACTGACTGTTATACACACATGAGCTTATTGCAGACAAACCTCACTGCCACACACACACATGCTCACTACACACCAGCTCACTGACATACACATTACACATGCCCACTACAGACTAGCTCACTGACACACACATCCAAGCCCACTCACCAGCAGGCACATACACACACAAGATCATTCTCAATCATGGGTTTCTGAGTATTTAAAGGCTATCTGGCACTTAAGGCATATGGGGCACTGGAAAGTGAAGTTGCCAAGACAGCTGCTTGAGGCTGGGGGTGGAGCTTGAGTGCAGGGGTGGAAGAGAAGAGGCTCACAAAAGGTTCTTGGAATTGTGAAGGGAGACTTACAGTACTCCCTGCAGCCAATGGTAACCTTAATGCAGCTGCTCCAGCCCCCAGCACCTCAGATTACAAACATCACACCTTAAATACCACTTTCCACTTACCTAATCAATGCCAGTGACATTCTGTAATCACCATAGTTCCTACAGACTGAATATCAAACAGAGGTTCTTCCAACCATCCATTAAAACAATAGACAATCCAAAATATTCTAAAGAGTCCAAAACCGAAAGGCATCTGGATGAAAGCAGCCTGTTCAGCCCTTCCAATCTCTACTTAAACCAAGACGCAGAACTAAAACCGAAAATGAAATGCAACATCTCATGGGAAATGGCAAATATTTAGCCCTAATTCTCTTAGACATATCAGTTGCAAGACACTATGAACTAGACAATGATAAGCATCCCTTGTTAATCACACCAATCAAGAAATTCACTTGAGAAGTTCAACAAGATTTTTTTTATTATTCTTTTGGATAAAGGAAGAAAAAAATAAGATTACATTTAGCAAAGACAAGACAGCAGGAAAGTCGAATACGTAAACACATAAGAAAAAAAGACATGTAAAAAAAATATATATATATCTATACAACAGCCTAAAATTAGTATAACAAACGTTCCTTCCCATGTACGTTTGCCATGATCTTTGGAGGAGTGTGGAAGCTGGTCTCCTGCCCACCGACTATGGTCCAGGTCTGGGACACTGTTTGGGAGTTACCCTGCCCAGCCGCCATTAGCAGCTAACCATGGGTGCCCCTGGTTCGACACTTTCCCTTCTTGCGAATGGAACTAAACTCTAGCTCCTTGGTGGCCGTTCGCATGAACCAAACCCATGAATAGTCCTCAATGGTACTTAGCCACGACAGCTATGGAACTAATTTCAGCATGAGGACTCCGTGGGGTCCCAGTAACTTCAGCAGGACTTAGCCGCGAATGTTATGGAACTGTTTTCGGCATGAGGGGACCATGCGGCTTCCGGACAACTTGGCTCATGGTTTTGAACCACTTTTAAATCCGCCAGGAGAGCGCTTTTTGGAGGGAAGGTGCCTGAGACAGGGAAACAAACGCTACCATAGAGTCAGGTGGAGCACCCCATATTGTGGCCGCAGGAGCTCCAGAGAGTTGACCGGCAAAAGCACCAAACGCCCTGGAACTATTTTGGGCATAGGACCACGTGTGCGGTTGGTCAGAAATTTAACACGGGGGCATTTCCCCTACACTGCATGGATCTGAAAGCTACAACTTGGGCGCTCAGATCAGGGCTATTTGGGGATGTATTATTTGTGGGGCTATTTTATGTTTTTATTATGTTTTGGGGTACTTTTATATTTTTGTGTTTGGCTCTCTGTTCCTGGGAGATAATAAGCTTACTGGTCTTTATCGCAATTATCTCCCAGGCCCAGAGATTTCTGGGAGGGACTTGTGCTAATTACAATGGGGATCCCCTGCTGGGGCCTGTGCATAAAAGGCCGAGTTTGGCTCATTAAAATCCGTTGTACTCCCAGAACTATATGTCGTCTAGTTACTGGGAGGGGAAGGGCTATAATCACTGCTCAGCACCTTGTTCCAGCTCGTGGAGGATTTGGCTGGGAAAGTCCTTGTAGCGACTAGAGCTCCCAGGACTGTGTGTCGTACAGTCCCTGAGAGGGAATAGAGCTAGTCCTCTATCCTGTTCCATGGCAGAGATGCTCCAGGAGGACCCCGGTCAAGCCACGGGGCAGAAGTGCTGAGTTTTTCCCCTGCACCTCTTATATAACACTGCCTTTGGTTTACCCTAAATTCACAAAAAAAAAAAATCATGTGTTATTCCATAGCCAAAACCACTCCCTAGTTGATGTCATCTTTCCTTCCACTTTTGGCTTACTTCCAGTAGAGAAGCTCCCTGTACCCAAACTGGGTACCTCAGCCAAGGACCGCTTCCTAGCTGGAACCAGGGAAAACCTCAGCACTTCTGCCCCAATTGCCAAGGCTGGGGAGTGGTTTTGGCTATGGAATAACACAATTTTTTTTTGTGAATTTAGGGTAAACCAAAGGCAGTTATATAAGAGGTGCATTACAGTAAAATGTTAGTTTCAGAGCAGTAAATAAGGTCCGTCCACCTAGAATGTTCAATATTTGCATTATATCACCAGGAAATCACATGGGACCTCAACACCAGCTAGAAGCAGTTTAGAGGGACACTAATGGGGAATAATGGCAGAGTAAAACAAGCTCTACATACGGAGCATAAATAAGGTCATGCGCAGAAAGACATGAATCATGAGACCTGGGAAGAGGGATACAAATTGAGAAGAAAAAAAAGCAGGATACATAGGGAGAATAAGGGCAACTGGAAACAAATGGAGGATATGATCAGAAAGGGCACAAGGGAGGTGAAGGCACATGAGTATAACAATGCAAGGGGGGATATTGCCAAAGGGGCACAAATGTGGAATATTGACATAGCGGTAAAAAGAGTAGTGAGGGGATATGGGCTGAGTGTCACAAATGGATGAATGGGGTATAGGAGTAGAGGGGCAAGAGGCAAAATAAGAGATAATTCGAGATTGGTTCCAAATCAGCTATGTTTGCCTTTATTTGAAATTTTCTGTTTATATTTTTTCTACAAATTATGGGATTAGCTGAAAACAAAAAACATGACATTTAAGTAACCATGCAGTGCTTCTAACGAGATTTGGTTTTGGATCCGCCCTTGGAAGTGAAAATTTAAAACAAAATGGATGGTTCTTAGAAAGGTTTAAAAAAAAAAAAAAAGAGAGAGAAAACTGAAAACAGTTATTATGTCACTAGTTATATCACACCTGGACTATTACTTACAATGATCACCCCAGATTTGCAGAAGTGTTTAATGTGTTTGGATTTTACTGTGTTTGTGACAACTTATAAAAGTGACAATGTCTGCAGCTTTTGCGATCTGTGTTTTCATATACCTTCAAAATAAACATGCAGAAAAATATAGATTAATGTTCAATGAAGTGGACTGGGTGTCAGGTCCCTCTAGGGTTAACCCTGCCTGATGTAAACATAGTTTCTGAGACATCGGCGGGGGAGGAGAAGTAAGGGAGCCAGGCGAGGGAAAAGGGTGAGTAGCTGAAGTGGTTTTAACCCTGTTACTTTAAGGCTGAAACTTGGGTGGAAATAAGGTAATGATGGGGTAAAGTTCTCAGACTAAGAAACAGCATGGAACATGCAAAGGAGCACACAATGTAGGCTTTACCTGCAGAAGAGGCGAAAACTGTGTCCCTACTGTGCCTAGAAAGTAAGGGGCTTCACAAATTCCATATGGAGCTAGCTCCTAGGTACTTAGTGGTAAGGAGGGAAGGAGAAAAGATAGAAATCCGAATGAAGAAGTTGGATATATAAATTGGAAGAATCAGAAAACACAGGGGATGCTGGAAACATTGCTGAGCCTTGATGAATATATGGAAGCTACCTCCACTAATCTATAAATACCAATAAGGTACTAGTGTACAGACGCTACGAATATATAGAACAATATTTGGTGGTCTAAATCAACAATGCCAGATCATCACTGAAACTTTGGAAGACTTTATCTGTGCATCTGACCAAAGGATCACCACTATTTTAAGATGAAGAATTTATTTTTCTAAAAAGGCATTTTTCCACCACATTTCTTAACATCTATTGCTCATCAGGATCATTTTCTCTGACCCTCATTATTTCAGCAAAGGTCCTTTTTAAGTGCTTACACTCGGACTTCCCCTTGTTTATGTATTGCTTCAGCTGAGGAAGATCAATAACACCGAGCCTTTAATCAGAACATTTTACTTTATGGCATTATGCATTTGCTTACAGTATTACATGTATATTATGTGAAGTAACATACAGTTAATGAACAGAGAGAAACATAATGCTCTGCGATCAGTACTACAGCATGCAGCAACACACATAGAAAGGGAACGTTTCATTAAAAAAAAAAAAAAAACTGTCCACATTCTTGTGTTCTAGGTCATTTAAGGCAGATGGATCAATCAAAATGTTGCTCTGGGGAACATTTTTTTTTTTTTTTTTTTTTTTAAACCCACAACTACACAACACAGAACTTCCTCTTTATTATTACTATAAGCTTATGAAACTGAAAGCGCCAGAATGTTATACACAAAAAATGAAGTTAGTCAGGAAAACAAGTTGTCAGAAAATATAAAGAACTCAATATTTGCAGCTTTTTGTCTTCATTGCAAGATGTTATTTTAAGAGAGACATTACAACCTAAAAACAAAGAATTGTATGAAACATACCAACCAAGCCTTTCAATGTTCACAAACTTTTTATTCACAGTGAATTAGCACATATTTAGCCAAAACAGCTGCTCTGAAAAAAATATCTAACTTTGAGAATTTTTCCAATTTGTCTTTCAGACTAAAACGTGTAGTTGTCTTGCGAATTTAACAATTCATGGTTTAGTGAATAACACTGAATATGTTTATTTGTTGCAGTGTTAATAACAGTATGCATTTGCTTTTGTCACACTGTGTGGGTAAAACAAGCTTTTTACCTTTTGTGCTTTAAAGCTTGTGCATAAATAAATAAAAAAAAACAAAACAAGAAGATATTTTCCTTAGAATAGATTTGTCCTTTTCAAAAGCCATCTCCTACACACGCTAAGAGTAACAGCTTGAATAGTTAGGCATGTCAATTGTAAGCAACTTTAACAAAATAATTACCTGTAGTTACAACTGTTGAAATTATAATGCAACTGTAAGTATATTAAATAGCCCCCTTCCCTCCCCTCCCCAAAACAAACCAGGAAGAGGAACAGGAGCTTTGTTTATACACGTTACTAAACACATCAAATAAGTATATGCTTACATTTTACTTTACAAATCAATATAGAATGTGAAGGGCGCTTTTTAATGAATTAAAGTTCATCTTAATATATTAATCTAGTTTAGTAATTTAAAAGCTATGTAGTAGTATTCAAATGATAACCAATGTAACAACATAAAGTAATGTTTTATGAAACAGAATTTCTAGTGGCAGATGTACAATGAAAATTAGTGTAAGGTTTAGGACTTTAAAGGGCAACCATTACTTTTTTTTGGAAATGACATATGATAAACCATTGAAAATTAACTAAAACAAACATTAACCATTATTCATGTGATGCTCCATTTTATTTTATTATGTGAAAGATTTAGCATAACAATCCAGTTCAGTCAAGGCACAGCCAAGGCACACTTTGCAAATCAGGAAGAGAAACAAAAACTCTATTCTTTATCCTCTTCTATGTATGCTTTCTTTGTGCTGACTACCAGGTGAAAAGGACGGAGCTTATAATAGTGACTGACATGGTGCTAAGATGGCGGCATCCCAGTTGGAGGATAAAGAGGTGAGGATTTCTACATTCAATTTTATCCTTTACAGCTCACAAATACAAATTTGTTAAATATAGGAGATATGTAAACATAATATTAAAAATCCTTGGAAGCAATAGTTCCTCTTGAAATGGCGTGTCCTTTTAAAGACCAAAGAGGGAGTCCATGTTCCAGTGCAGAAGCCATGTTAGGACTTCAGAAGACTGGATTAACAATTGTAAAGCAAGAGGTGTGTTCATTAAACAATAATTTGTGATTTTATGAAGAAACACTAACATAAGCAAAAGACAAGAAAGTAAAAGTATGACGAGAGAGGGGGTAACGTGCAGAAAAACCATTCAGTGGCAACAGGTAAATAGCCATTGAACTGCAGGATTTTTGGGGGAATAGATAGAGAAAAAAATTCAAGTTTACATCATATTGAAGAAGCATAAAATGTTTTATCTCACAAACTATAAAGACCATAAAAAGGAATGTACATTAAATATCATGAAATGTATTTTAAACTTGAAGAATGTGTTGTTATTAATTCTTTAAATATATCTAATCTAAAACAAAATGTTAATTCTTTTAGTTTTCAGATTCATGCTATTTCACTAAAATGTTCAATAACAAATATAATATTATGTTTTTGCGATGTCCAAGAAAACTGGTAAATTAATTAATATCACCGAAAAGTCTCTTACAATCCTCAGAAAACATACTAGCAAATGCATTTCTTTTCTCTATCATGTATTTAGATTACAAATCAAAATACAGAGTTTGGCTCACGTGCAGTATTAAATAACTTTTTTTCTGAACAGAGAACTTTCAGATCAAAAATGGACATATGTACTTGCAAATTTAGAGAACTTTACAAACACACAAAAAATACGGAATACACCTCACCCTCGAGGAGAAAACATGATAGTACAAACAAAATATTTCATAAAACTGGAAAAAAAATGGAAAATAAAAATAATAATAAATTCAGGATACAAGTTTACAAAGCGTCATGAGTATATTTTATGAGTAGTTTTCCAAGAACCAAAACATCTCTCACCTTAAGTACTTAAAAAAAACAAACAAAAAAAAAACACAAAATACAACAACATATATATCCAAATTAAAAACAATTTTTGTATTTCCTTTTGAGAAAACTGAAAGGTAATTGTAAACAGGATAATGAGGTACTACACTAAATGACTGCATTAAACAAGTCACAGCAGAAGGAAAAACAAACCCATTAGCTACATAATACATTTACCAAAAGGTTCTTATTATTCAGATATTAATATATTTACAAAGCATACTGAAAACGTTAAGAAACAAAAACTATGGTGAAGATACAATTTATATTGGGTTTTAGTCCAAATAATGGAGACAGACAATTGTATAGGAATATATTTTTCTTTAAAAAATATATCAAAACTTACATTTTACATTGTAAAAAATGTTGTTTTAGCTGTGATGAAAGGCAATCTGGATCCTTTGTTCACTATGTTTTTTCATGGATTATAATGACAATAAGGAAAGGGGGACCAATTTAGCCACAAAGCTTAGTCAGCCTTCTTAGCATTGACGCTGTATCCATTACTTAGTTGAAGGTCACCATTCATTTAGCCACTAATATTACTGTTAGACCCAAATGTACATTGTCACATTACATTACACAGCATAATTAGTTCCCAGACACAATATGACTGAACAGAAAAATCTGAACATAAAACAGGCTAAACAAATCAAGATAAGACGTAGGATTGACTGTCTAAATTCAGAAAGGCCATTCAAGAACAAAGAGACATTTTTGACGCCTTTGCAAATGCAGATATGTAATACGTAGTACTGTCTGATCGTTGTGAAAAAAATACAATAAGAAAGTGCAAAGATGGGAATATAACAGGTAACAAAAACATTATCTAATGAGAGATGAAGTTTGCATTAATATTTGTTTGTTTAGTTTTTGATTACTTAAGGAGTTGCACATGAATAACATTCACTTATACATACAAGCAGTGCGGAATGACAACAAAGGTTTTACATTCAAATATTGCCTTTACACTAAAAAGGCAGATCAAACGGATTTACACAAAAACACGCACCTTCCTTGAATAAACTAACTTTCTAGCCATTCGGCATTAGGGAAATTGACTTACTAGTTATAGGGATTTCTATTATGTTGCATAGATGAAAGTTTGTACACATCAGTAATATGCAAGTGTTATAGTCAACTGCTCATCTGCTGTTTAAATATCCACTAATTCTAAATTCAGAATTGGCTTCACAGGCAATAAAAATAATTGAGAAAATTCACATGATGCAATGTTCTTATTGAATAAGAAAACAGATTATTAATTACACTCATAAAAACATTTCAGCAAACTAAAATGATTGCAAAGTTGCACTTTCCAAAACAGAATAAAATGTGCTCTGTATGGAGAATTCAGCATGTATTATTATTAATTATAAAGCGCCAATATATTTCACTGATAATAAAAAAACATTTTTTTTTAAAAAACACCAGTTAAATGAAACTAAAATCACATTTTGTTAACATTGACAAGAAAACATTGGATTAAATATAACAATACAATTAATTCTATGTTTGGTTTTTTTAAATATATTTTACTACACTTGTGAAAATGTTAATTAAGGAGACTGTTGTGCTGTGTCAATACATAATCTTTCTGCAATGCTATGGAAATGTAATTTTCTCCCCCACTAAGTGACATCACAAAGGAGGCTAAATAGCTGTTTTCAATAGTGACCTCTGACACAGCCTCTTTTGAGGTTTGTAGAAAAATACACTTTGTTCAGTGAGAAACATTGTGGGAAGAAGAAGTCTAGGAATTCGTTTTGAAATGCACACTAAGAGAAAAAACAAAAAACTCACTTAAAGGATTTCATGAGATACTGTAGTAAATGTTGAAGAAAATCCATTCTTCGTAAAAATAAACACAATGCAATATATATATATATATATATATAAAAAAAACAAACAAACAAAAAAAAAAACACAACAGCAAAAACTACAGAAAATTATGGTCACCTCCCAAGGAGTGACAGTCTAATCTTGATTCCCATAAGGGAACATGTCCATCAAAAGCCATATTTCTGCTGAAACACACTGAGTTGGCATAATGCGTAAGAAATTATTACACTTAAAATGATTCCCACTGGGCAGATGGGTTTATTATTTATTTCTGTAAGTGAAAGTCATTATCATTTTCAGTTAAATATACTCAGCAGATGAAATCTACTGTAAAAATGGTTTGCACTGCTTTGGATGGAGCTGAGGAAACACATTTTGCTAAGGATGTAAATAAATTACATTTCAGGGGCACCCTTAACCCCACTGTCTGTATTTTAACAATACTGAAGAGAAAGTGACAAATGATTGTTTTAATGTAATATATACAGTCTCCTATAATGAGTATTCAATACATTTTATTATAGAATAAAACCTGTAAAATAAGAATGGTTTAAATAATCATCATGCAATGGCTGAAGTATTCTGAACGTCAATATTTCAGTTTAATTTCCACTAGGTAATCTAATTTGTATTGCGCTGTTAAAATAAAATTCAAGCTATGACATTGATTTTCCACTTTCTGGGCCTCAAACCACACATGAAGTCTACAGGAAAACAAAGATGTCTGCCCTTAGTAATGTTCTTTTGCTGACATAGGTAAAAAAAAAATGTAAACTGCATACACCAGAAGAAGTGATAGCGTTAAAAAGTATTATTACCTTTTTAATGTTTAATCAAGACCATTATTATTTATCTTTTATTAAGACACAAAAATGCGTTAGTAAAATCTTGAGAAAAAAAATTTAATAAATAAAATGGAATCTTGCAGCATAATCTACTTCAGAAAACACTTGAGAATAATCTGATTCACATAACAGCAGCTAAGTGGACACTAAAACCCAAACTATAAGAAGGCAGTTCAATGATGATCCATTGCACAGAACACCACTTAACAACTCAAATTGGTGTCTCTCTGACTTGGCTAAGTGAGTTAAAGGACCAAAGTGCTATCCTTTACCTGCATTTAAACAGGGCTTTCTTTACAACCTAAAATGACAATGGTTCCATTTTAAGACACAGGTCAATAAATAGTTACATCATGCCCTGTGCTTTCATGTTAGTATAATGTTAACTGTAGCATTATACAAAGAGCAATGAGTTAAATTGTATCCAGCCATTCAGAGATTTCTCATCATCTCTTTTACAATCTAGGTTGTTGTTTTTTTTCTTCCCTGAGAGCGCTGACGTGTGCCTGGACTGGATATATAGGTGGGCCAACCCTGACTGACGTCCCCCCACCACCTAGACAGCCATAGACATGTGTCAGCAGTCTCCTGAACATCAAGGACTCTCAGAACTGTCCTGTCACAACACTCTCATCACAGCACAAGGTGACCATAGCAAACAATGCTCTCAACATATGGACAGTCCCTGCCAAAGGAACACCCTTTAGACCTGGTCTCACATATTAACCATCCAATCCACGTGTCATCACACTCCACTATTACCATATTTGGAGGAGCATCGTATTAATGTTACATAGTAAGTCAAATAAATATTTCCCTGTACACAGCATGCACCTCCTCTCCCTGATTAAATGTCTCAGGTTTGTGAATGGAAGGAGAAGGTGGAATGAAACCTGAAAGGGACACTTTATATCTATTGTCCTCACATCAAAGACAACTTGTCCGTGGTCTCCAGACAATGCATACTGGCAGTTAGACAGCGAAGGGTTAACTAATATGGCACCAAAAACGGTCTCCAAACGTGACAGCTGCTTCTCTCTTTCCGAGCACACAAACAAGAGCCATGCTGGACGCATGAGTGCGCCTGCTGTGTGTATGACAACACGGCTCCTACATGGAACACAGCGCCGAGCAGGACGTTCCAGAATGCCCGGTGGCTGGAGATGGGGGTCTTCCAGCACAGGGGGGCTCAATCAATGCACTGACTGGGGGCTCCACTACAAAACACGCAGAGAGGCACTGTGCATGCTCCCTACAGCCATCAGACATCGCTTAGTAAATATCACCCCCGATATAATCAGGTGCCAGGGGCTCTTACACAACATTCTAAGAACACTCATCGTTGCAGGACTGGCTCATCCTTAACAGCATGTATTGTTATGTTAACTCTGAGCCTATCTCCTCTCTGTAAAAATATAAATATTACAAATAATAAAAATTAAAAAAAAAAAAAATGTCCACACAAAGCATAGCATTGAAGAGTAAACACCATCCCTGATCCCCCAGCCCATGCACTCACCTTCCTTGCACTTTCAGTTCCTCTCTGCCAGCTGGGAAGCAGGTTGCATGTCGGCAGGTTTCCTGGATTCTCCTGGATAATGTGGTCTCACCAGCTCATCCTGGAAGTGAGTGCACCCATCACATGGCCATTTGCTGGAGCTGCTGGAGGCTGGAGCTTGCTTGCTGGCTTGTTGTTGTTGTTGTCCCCAGGAGCCAAGGCTAGCTTCTCAATCAGGATCCACCCCCACCCCTTTTACGTGGGGCTTGTAAAGAGGAAGGCTTTGCAAGGGGAAACGTAGCTGTTGCTGCTGTCTTATTTGTGGTTGATATGTGTGTGTGTGTTTCTGTGTGTATGTCAGAGACTAGGCAGGAGTGACACAGCTCCCCCTCCCTCCCCCCCTTTGACTTTTCTCAATTCCTTGGCTCAACCTAGTGCATTTTTGATTGCTCAGATGTACAAATATAGCACTTTCCCAGTGTATTTACGTATGCTTTTGCCAGGGTAACTTGCCTCCTCCTTCACCCTGATTGCAGAGCAGCGTGTGTGTGACTGCTATGTTTGTTGCTCTGTGAATGACCCGCCTACCACAACGTCCTTCTGCTTCACTCTACTTTATTGGTTGTTCAATGTCTTTCTAGTAGACTCACATGTGACACCTACAGGCCGCTTGTGGGCGGTGCATGTGACACACTGTCATGTATTGTTGATTGGTGTACAGTGAAAGCATTGTTTATTATTCGACACTAGTAATGTTTATTCGTGCCTTCGCAGACATTCGAGTGGGTTGCAAAACATGCTTCAAGTAATGCTTGCTCTGTCTTGTCAATAAATACATTAACATTAACCCCTTCCAGGCTGAGTTTTAGTTTATTGATTTGCTTTTTTTTTTTGTTGCTGTTTTTGTTTTTACACTAATGAAGGAAACAATTTATTAAATTCTTCATGAATTAGTTTCACCATTCATTTCTACCTTTCTTGTTCTATCTTTGCTGTATAGAACAGAATGGGTTTTCATTTGAACCTATATTAATATATATTTCACAAGAAAGGGCTTTTTGTCATCTTCTGTTCCTGGATGTCCAACTGGTCTTGTTGCAACTACTGGTTTGCTAGTATAGTGTACAGAGCTGCGAAATGCACTGGCATTTTATAAATACTAAACGTAATAATAACACACATATGGACAACATTTTTAAAAAGATGTTAAAAAAATTAAAGAAAACAAAGCCAGTGCAGCTAAAAAGAACAATCTTTATTTTCTTATCATTTTTGTAGCTCACCTCAGAGATCCTTAGTTCACTATTTATAACTCGTTATGATGCTCGTTATATGTGTACCTCGATTTTTTTTTCTAATTTACATTTAATTGAGTTTTAAATGAATATACAGGTGCACATTTTACAGAAATGAATTGGTTTCACTGATGTAGCTGCAGCGGGTCATTGATATTATTAACCATTAATAGAAAATAATACAAAAAATAAAAGAATAAATAATTAAAACATTAAGAACTACCCTGTGTTTTTTTTAATTGTAACAGTTTCCGTATCTTCATTCTGCTGTTGGGATCCATATGAGCAATATATGCATTGCACACTTTAGAAATCAGCACCCACTCACAGTATACCATCCAGGTTGCTTCAGGTCTCACTATTAACACTAATAGAGTAACAATCCCTAAGAGTGCATTGCTCCAAATGGTCAATGGATGTTAGTAGATCCATTAATGGGGTATGTTTGGGAGTTCCATTGCTTTCCAGCTTTTTGGCTATCAGCAAGCATGAAAATTATCGTTATTATTTTGCTTTGGGATGAGTAAGTGGAGGGATATAAGTTCAGCAGCGCATATTCTAGACAAAACGGCAACATACACTTCTAGTGTGTTGGCAAACTTAAATACCATACTTCCATGTGTGGGTAAAATTAGAGCAATTCCACCAGATATGTAAAAGTTTGTAAAATATGGTACACTTGGACTGTAAGATTAATAGGACTTCCTAAATACCAAATTACTACAGAAAAGTATATAATTGTAGAAACTATACACCTTTTGGGTATTTGCCCAAAGGCGTTCGGAAATACGTCATATAATCATATTTTCTTACTTTTCCATGTGCACCTCTACATATCATTTTAATCCCGGTGAAGGCCAACACACAACACAAAGAATAGGCTTGAACATTCAGACTTGGACAAGTCCAAACAATTTTGAACAGCAAGGATAGGCTGAAAGCACTGGGTGAGGGTTAGCACAGTACTCATAATTGATTTCTGGGGCGAGTGTATAAACTGTACCAACACCATAACCAAGGAAGCAGAATTTGTTGCTCTATGAGGTCTACCAGATCTTCCATTGTGCACGTCACATACAGTACCAAGGTTTCAAACTTATCTCAAATTCGTGAAATTATCAGGCGTTTTGGAGGTTTTGTTGCAAACTCATGTCTCTATTGTTATTGAGTTTCAACAACATTCTAAAATTTGAAATATCACTTTAAAACCGTCTTATGTTATATAAACGACAAATTTGCCACGTCCATTTTGTTTGACTGTCCCCAGTTGCATGTTGATGCTAGAGTCATGCGGGTAACGACATCTTTTGAGAAAACATCACACTACACATTGCTATCGAAATTGGATCTAACTTCGAGAAAAGTTTATAGCTATCCTCTGTGAAAGTGTGTATACATTTTTCTGGCTTGCTCTTTATAAAGAAGGATCACAGAATGTAACATGTTTGGTCAGAAAAAAAAGTCTCCCAAAGATGTAGGGAGAAGAAAAAAATATTAATATCATATAAATTCTTTGTTTTTTGTAGTATGTTGGTATTTCAAATATGTCTACATTTGATGTACTGTAGTTAAAAGGTCAGTACCATAATGCACGTGCGTGACTCCCCAATTCCTTTTTTTTTTTTGCTTTCTATTTAGAATCCAGACCAGATTCCTTTTGAGTTAATTATCTCACCCCGTCCACTACAGGTGCCACTTAGGAAGGGACCACAAGAAAGCATACATTTGAGGATAGTCTTTGGAAGCAGCTTAAGCGGTAAGTATTGCTGTTAGCATATTTATCTTCCATGTTAAAATTAGTTTAGAACCCACTGATATTGGGGGACTTTGACAAAGCAGTAGGCTTAAAACAGTATGACCATATGATGTAACCAAATCCCCATATTTGTTGCTAAGAGATAGTTGATTTTAAGTAGAATTGTAAGGTTTTAAACTGTATTTTTGTGTGTTCACTGTTCCTTTAATCTGTATTTTATCTTGAGGGACAGAAGAAAATCCAGTGAAGTGTTTGTTTATGATCGCACTGTGTCTTGTGACACCAAATTACATGCTTTGATCATAAGACGTCATACAAGAAATGGGCTTTCTGGGCATGTTGGAGCTAAGGAAAAAAATATTGTGGAAAGCCAATAAGCAGGAGAAATTGTAGTAGACAAGAACATGTATCATAGCCTATATGTGCATTATAACATTTTGCAATACCTTTCTTCAGTGCATCTCCTGGCTTACACTTGGTCTATGGGGGCGCCAATCATTAAAAGGACATTGTAAGTATCAAAACCATTTCATCTTAATGAAGACTGACAGACACTAATGCCAATTCCTTATAAACACTTTCAATTTTTAACGTTCTTTATGTTCTGCGTCATCATACTGCACATGATGGCTTTGAACCCTGTGAATGCTTCTCACAGAGAAACACTGGATTCAATGCTGGATTCAATGCTTTTCTACAAGAGGCGTCTGATTAGTGGAGCACAGTGATTTCTACACATCTACCATCAATGATTCTCTGCGAGTAGCATAGGATTGGACCAAGATCATTCATCGGGATGATCTTAGAAGAGGTGAGATGGATTACTGGTGGAATCTGTTACGGAGATGGATTAGAGGTGATTGTAAAGGCTTTTTCGTCCGTTTTATTTGTGTTACATCCAAACTATAAAAATAACTCAACTCAGGTTAAAATTAAACTATTATACTTAGAGATTTACATTAAGTCCTTGTATCTTCTAAGATTGTATTCCATTTGAACATCTAAAGCCATCTCAGAGTGTATTTCTGAGATATCTGTCATCTATACAGGGAGTGCAGAATTATTAGGCAAGTTGTATTTTTGAGGATTAATTTTATTATTGAACAACAACCATGTTCTCAATGAACCCAAAAAACTCATTAATATCAAAGCTGAATATTTTTGGAAGTAGTTTTTAGTTTGTTTTTAGTTATAGCTATGTTAGGGGGATATCTGTGTGTGCAGGTGACTATTACTGTGCATAATTATTAGGCAACTTAACAAAAAACAAATATATACCCATTTCAATTATTTATTATTACCAGTGAAACCAATATAACATCTCAACATTCACAAATATACATTTCTGACATTCAAAACAAAACAAAAACAAATCAGTGACCAATATAGCCACCTTTCTTTGCAAGGACACTCAAAAGCCTGCCATCCATGGATTCTGTCAGTGTTTTGATCTGTTCACCATCAACATTGCGTGCAGCAGCAACCACAGCCTCCCAGACACTGTTCAGAGAGGTGTACTGTTTTCCCTCCTTGTAAATCTCACATTTGATGATGGACCACAGGTTCTCAATGGGGTTCAGATCAGGTGAACAAGGAGGCCATGTCATTAGATTTTCTTCTTTTATACCCTTTCTTGCCAGCCACGCTGTGGAGTACTTGGACGCGTGTGATGGAGCATTGTCCTGCATGAAAATCATGTTTTCTTGAAGGATGCAGACTTCTTCCTGTACCACTGCTTGAAGAAGGTGTCTTCCAGGAACTGGCAGTAGGACTGGGAGTTGAGCTTGACTCCATCCTCAACCGAAAAGGCCCCACAAGCTCATCTTTGATGATACCAGCCCAAACCAGTACTCCACCTCCACCTTGCTGGCGTCTGAGTCGGACTGGAGCTCTCTGCCCTTTACCAATCCAGCCACGGGCCCATCCATCTGGCCCATCAAGATTCACTCTCATTTCATCAGTCCATAAAACCTTAGAAAAATCAGTCTTGAGATATTTCTTGGCCCAGTCTTGGCGTTTCAGCTTGTGTGTCTTGTTCAGTGGTGGTCGTCTTTCAGCCTTTCTTACCTTGGCCATGTCTCTGAGTATTGCACACCTTGTGCTTTTGGGCACTCCAGTGATGTTGCAGCTCTGAAATATGGCCAAACTGGTGGCAAGTGGCATCGTGGCAGCTGCACGCTTGACTTTTCTCAGTTCATGGGCGGTTATTTTGCGCCTTGGTTTTTCCACACGCTTCTTGCGACCCTGTTGACTATTTTGAATGAAACGCTTGATTGTTCGATGATCACGCTTCAGAAGCTTTACAATTTTAAGAGTGCTGCATCCCTCTGCAAGATATCTCACTATTTTTTACTTTTCTGAGCCTGTCAAGTCCTTCTTTTGACCCATTTTGCCAAAGGAAAGGAAGTTGCCTAATAATTATGCACACCTGATATAGGGTGTTGATGTCATTAGACCACACCCTTCTCATTACAGAGATGCACATCACCTAATATGCTTAATTGGTAGTAGGCTTTCAAGCCTATACAGCTTGGAGTAAGACAACATGCATAAAGAGGATGATGTGGTCAAAATACTCATTTGCCTAATAATTCTGCACTCCCTGTATATGACATCCAGATCTGTGAATGCACACTAGCTTTCAGTAACGTTGGCTGGATAAGTCGTACTTCTGATAAAAAAAATGATATAAAAATGGCTGCCCCTTTGGAGAAAGAGTAAGACAGAAGAAACACTGAAAAAGGCTTTTTAAAGAAATGCATCTATTACAAAATAATGCACATATAGGCTAATACGCAACCGAAAATTTCAGATTTTTTCCAATTTATCTTTTTATTACAGTTTGTAAAAAAATGTACAAAACACGTTCATCGGATAATAAAACACTTGAGAAATAGGGAAAAATGCAAATATTCAAGATAAAGCTTGTACAGTATTATCTTTTGATGATATATATGTATAAAACAGAAAACGGAAACTTTTGAAATGATTAAAAATGACATATTTTCCATTTTCCTTGAACGCAAAATAATAATGAAACACGCAGAGCATTTAAAAATATATTTATGACAAATATATTACAGAATAGAACAGTTATAGATTTAACATATTAGCTATTGCAAACTCAATGTAACATAACTCGCCAAGATGCAAACTGAAACTAAACAGGGAGGGGTTTTAAAAGCAACATTCTGAAAGTATAATTATCTTGAGCTTGGTATTATATGTGTTTGTAAAGGAATGTGTCACATTTTTCCTTTACTATTTCAGCATTACTGAGGTGTCTCTAGTTTGATTAGTGCGCACAGGAAACAAGAAAACAAGCCAAGACATGCATTCTCTAAGGGTCTCCATCAGTCAGAAGGGTAATCTTGAGTTGGTCCCCTTGCTCACCGTGCCTATATAGGTGTGAGTGCAAAAATGCTCTGACTCCATCCAAGACCTGACACTATTTTGTTATGTGCCAATGCCATTTTCTGATTGTAACATTAATAATAATCTTTAAAAATTAATTTAAAAAGATCTATAATTATTCATTCTTGCTAGTTTGGGTGCTCACACTTCGGTTAATTTTGTTGTTTAAAAATCAAAAATCAGATACCTCTCGTCCAGCAGCCAAGTGGGTAGTCCTTCCCACAGAGAAGACAAAATATAAATAAAAGTTTTGGCCACTACAGACAATTTCCTCCACCATTGTGCAGTAGAGCAAGTGTCTGTAGGAAATTGTCTGTAGTGGCTGAAACCTTTTGTGACAAAGTGCCCTTCGCCACTTGGTCCTGGAGAGGCCTGCTTGCCAGCCTCCTCCCCTGTGACTATGACTCTTTGATGTATGTGGCTTTAAAGCCCTTATTCTACCTTCAGACAGACTATTTATGTAGGTTGCTTTATTTCTCTTATGTTTTAGTCACCCGGTACCCATTATAGGTGCAGGATGTGTGTAATGTAATTGTTTATAGTGTGTGTACTGTGTTATGTATTGCCTGCTCTCCTGTACTGCTGAGGTTTGCTACCAACTAGGTGGGTTTGGCTATGGAACTTGTCTAGTGCCCTCTGTTGGTAGCAACAGCAATATGCACTACCTGAATAGCAAGACTGGTTCATTTGCATATTCGGGTAGATTTGCATATTGCTAATTCTGCAGGCACGTGAGATATTTTCTGTTAAATATTGTCTCCCCCACCCCTTTAGAAATGTGTTGTGATAAGTCATTGTGTGTTGCCTGCTATGGTTTGACTGTTTGTGATTTTATTGAGTTTTCACAGCAATGTTAATGTGGTGACCCTATGGGCTGGTCCCAAGGGAAATAAAGGTTTAGACAGTTCTTCTTGATCCCTCTAAATGTAGCCTTGTCTTGTTATTGGAGGGAGCGGTTATAATCACACTGGGGATTGCTATCCTCTGCATACTCCCCTGAGCTTGAATCACTTAGCTCTTTTAAGAGCTTGTTCCTGACATGCTTTTCTTGGAGGAGAGGTCTTTCCCACACAGTCCTGGATGCAGGAGGTTCATACAGGGTGGAAGGAAGAGGTCTTTCCCACTACAGCAGTTGCGGAGTCTGCGGTGGTTGTGGTGTCCGGTGCGGTGCTTGTGGTCCTCTGCACAAGCTAGGAAGCGTCCAACAATGGAGGGTACTCGGTCAGAGTACGGGGAGCTCCATTACACCTTTGTTTATATTTTGCATGAACTATAATGTCTATATTCCAACTGACCTAATGAATTGTTTATGTCTTCCTGATACATGTCATTGAGATTCCATGGAGAGTGAGGGGGGACTTTAGGGATGGGGGAAGTGGTGGAAGTACTTGCAAGTTGTCCTTTCTCTAACAGACACCTGTTTCAGTATGCCCAAAGGCTTCCATGTCTTATTATGCTTTAGTACTACTGGTTGCAACTGGTATCCTCATTTTGTTATTTGGGAATAGGGGTTGCTTCCTCGCCTAGCTTGCTTTCCATTGCTAATTATATTCCTCTCTTTGTGTCCTAAAAAGAAAAGAAGGTGCATTCTCTGTGCAACTTTTTATTGTATTGTTTTGTTTTCCATAAAATTGTAAAAATTATTTCAAGCATGTATCTCATATGATGATATGCTATGTTTCATTTCTTGTAACCAAATAAAGAATTTTTAAAAAAAATGGAGGTGGAGGCCTCTGATTGAATTGGGTGATTTTTCTTCTTTCAGGCCCTACCCCTTGTCTCTAGGATGGACTTTGGGTCTCTACTGAGGATTATTGACTCTTTTATTTGGCATAACAAAAGTAATTGTCTGCCTAGAAATATGCTATACAGACCTAAGCTGGTGAGAGGTTGGGCCGCCCTAACGATGTGCTATTATGCAGTCTTGCTCTCCCAGATAGTTATGTGGCATGCAGCGCTGGAAGAGAGGAGATGGGTTGGCTTGGAGAACAGCATGATGGGCTCTGATCTTCCTCCATTCTATATATGTTTTGGTAGGTCTCAGAGAACCCTGCCTCGCTTGTTATGCTTTTACCACTTCCTTCCAAATCTGGGATAAGATATAATCTTGTTTTGTTCTGGCATCAAGCCCCTCTCTTCTCTCTCTGGTCTTGTGGAAATGCTAATTTCCTCCAGGAATGAAGTCTAGGGAGTTTGGGTTCTGTAGGATGAGGGGTTGCAACGATATCTACATCTTTGGAGAGGGGGAGCCTAATTATTCAGTCTAGCTCACCTTATCTAATTTAAAATAAAAACATTATCTCCAACTAATAAATTTTGCCAATCTGTTGAAAACAAAGAGGCAGCTGGGGTAGCACTCCCCTTGTTTGGTGTTATTGTTTTTGGCCCTTGATTTCTTATATTAAAGTACTAAATTCTGTGGATTAGCCGCACATGTTATAGAAAGAGGTATTATCAGTCAAAATGAGCGTCTGTGGTTGCCGTGTCTCTTATGCATTGTTATTGTGGCACTGGACTGCTCTTGTGGGTGAGATACGTTTGACATGCAAATGGCATAGGTTCCCTCTATTAAGGCACCAAATGTATTTGTGATCCAGGTTCAGGATTAACCGAAAGACAAGGTAAATGAATTCTTGCCCATTATTAGTGTTTTCATTTTTTAAAATTTTTTATTAAAATAAAAAAGCATTGACCTGGAAATTGAGCATGGACTCCTTTAGTCAGTTGTACAGTTGTTGGATATATAACTATAAATGCTGATACAAAAGGAGAAGAATATATGATATAGAAGCCATGGACCTGACATATTATATGTGGATGTAGTGTTGCATTCTGGTTCCTTACAAATACGCAAAAGTAAATAATTTTATCCATTTTAATAATCTTTTTTTTTAGACAATGCTAATGTATGTGACTACAGTGGAAATGCTGTCCTAATATTTCTCTACTAATTTTGAGACTACATATGAAGATGATAATATGAAAGGGACCATAAAACCCTCTAAAACAATTTTTACCAATATTTCTGCAAATGGCAAACAAATTAATTAAAAATGATACGTGCGTACATAATAAGTATCCATGAACAACAATCCATACACAAAATGTACTGCTTAGTCATGTGTTTTTGACATGTGTTTTTAAAAAACAAAAAAGTTGCATATGGGTTAAAGTAATACACTAACCTTCTATGTGGCTAAATCATATTTCCAAATGACTTTTAGTAAACAAAGATTAAGAAAAGCACTCTCAATGGTATCGGTTAATTGGAGTATATCAGATTTCCCTATCATTTATGTTCTGGTACAGGCAAGTAAGGCTGATAAGAGGCATTATAGTGGGATGTGGAGATAAGGATAGCAAACTTGCAATGCAGGGCAGTAAAATCCAAGAATGCCAAGACTTCTGCAAGTTTGCATTTAAGAAAAGAGAAAGTTATATTTCTCCACTCAAGTTTAAAGTCTCACTCCAGGAAGGGTTTATCACTCTTTTACATGATTTACAGAGATAACAACTGTTCAATGCCCGTTAGTTGCCTTGTGTTCCAATCCATTTAACAATAGGCAGCAGGGAAGGTTTGATCTATCTGATAGGTTGCCTATGTTCCATATACATAGTTACATAGCTGAAAAGAGACTTGCATCCCTCCACTTTTGTTTTTTGCTGTTGATCCAAAAGAAGGCAAAACAAACCAGTTTGAAGCACAATTTTGCAACAAGCTAGGAAAAAAATTCCTTCTTGACCCCAGAATGGCAGTCAGATTTATCCTTGGATCAAGCAGTTATTAACCTACATTGAAAGATTATATCCTTGAATTTTCTGTTTTTGCAAGTATGCATCTAGTAGCTGTTTGAACATCTGTATGGACTCTGATAAAACCACTTCTTCAGGCAGAGAATTCCACATCCTGATTGTTCTTACGGTAAAAAAACCTTTCCTTTGCTTTAGTCGAAATCTTCTTTCTTCCAGTCTAAACGCATGACCTGGTGTCCTATGTAAAGTCCGGTTTGTGAATAGATTTCCACACAATGGTTTGTATTGGCCCCCGAATATATTTGTATAATGTTATCCTATCCCCTCTCAGGCGACGTTTTTCTAACTAAATAGTTTTCTAACTGATATGTTCCATTCCTTTTATTAATTTTGTAGCCCGCCTCTGCACTTTTTCTAGTGCCATAATATCCTTCTTTAGAACAGGTGCCCAAAATTGCACAGCATATTCAATATGGGGTCTTACCAGTGATTTCGTCCCGAGAATGAATGCCCTTTTTCATGCATGACAATACCTTACTGGCCTTGGCCACTGCTGATTGACATTGCACATTGTTGCATAGTTTGTTGTCTATAACAAATCCTAAGTCCTTTTCGTGTGTTGTTATCCCTAATTTGCTTCCATGAAGGGTATACGTTGCTTGTGTATTCTTTACGCCGAAGTGCATAACTTTGCATTTTTCAACATTAAATTTCATCTGCCATTTGAGTGCCCAGTCCCCAAGTCTATCTAAATCCCTTTCAAGTAAAGTAATATCTTGCTCAGATTGTATTATTTTACAAAGTTTTGTGTCATCTGCAAACACTGAAACATGACTTTCAATGCTGTCTTCAAGATCATTTATAAACATGTTAAATTCCCAAAACAGACCCCTAGAAGGGGTCCCAAAACAGACCCCTGAGGGACACCACTTGCCACCTCTGTCCAGCTTGAAAATTTACCATTAATGACAACTCTTTGTACTCTGTTTTTAAGCCAATGTTCTACCCAAGAACAAGCATTTTCATCTAGACGATTTCCTTGAGTTTGAACACTAATCTATTGTGTGGAACTGTATCAAATGCCTTGGCAAAATCCAAATAGATCACATCCACGGCAACACCCTGATCTATACTTCTACTTACTTCTTCGTAGAACGCAATCAAGTTAGTTTGATATGACCGGTGCATCATAAAACTGTGCTGATTTTTGCTGATAACCATGTTCTTCTCAAGGAATTCTTGAATATTATCCCTTAACAACCTTTCAAATATTTTACCAGCCACAGAAGTTAAGCTCACAGGTCTATAATTTTTAGTAGCAATCATTTGCACATCTATTGCCATGGGTTCTTCCTTAATATATATGGAGGAGAAAAAACATTTCTGCCTTTTCCTGGTCTTCATTAACTAACACCCCCGTTTCAGTTTTTAGTGTACCTACACTTTCATTTTTGTTTTTTTTAGAATTTATGTACTTAAAAAAGTTCCATAATCTAGAAATAAATGTATATATCCCTTCACATTTAAAAAAATATTTACTACCTATTTGGATAGAGAACTTCACATCTTTTTGGTTATTATGGTTAATAATCCTTTTGTCTGCTGTAAGCCAAAATAAACAACAGACACGTTTCTTCTAGACTCAATGAATTGTCTGTTGCATGCTTCTGCCATTGAACAGGTTTGTACAGACCATGTATATATTTGTATATTGCTGTTATATCCCCTCTCAGAAGTATTATTTTATAAAGAAAAATTACAGTTTTTCAATTTTTTTCATACCTAATGTATTCCGTCTCCATTCTTAATTTCGTAGCTCACCTCTACACTTTTTCTAGACCAGCAATATCTCACTTGAAAAGTGGTGCCCAAAATAGCATTATATATTTAAGGTATTGTTTTACCACAATCCTTTAATTCCTACGGACATGAGATTACAATTTTTACCACGATACCTTGGGTCATCTCGTGTCACATTCGATTCCGATTCAGTGGGGGACAAAATGCCTTCTGTTAAGGAACTGTGTATGAGCAATCCTGATATTCTTACAGATCACTTTAAAATAGCACAGTTATCACACTTCACAGAAAGGCAGGTCAAACCTCTGGGAGGGATAGACTTCACACTCCATTCAAGGATCTATGTGCCTCTCACTAATTGAGAAAGCCTTTTGCACAATCCTTCCAACTTTTACAAGGGCTTGAGTGACAAACTTGGGTGTAACTTTTAGTGACTGAGCACATATACTCCAAAATGTACATTGGTGTGCGGCTAGTGGACACAGACGGGAATCAATGCATGTGCGCATCGAATGCACCAATCTATAGTTTCCAATATTTGGAAAATATTTCCGGTATCTTTGGATATTGAAAAATGTAGATTGGTGCAGTGATTACAATCTAGTAACTGCAGATGTAAGCTGTTTATACACCATCCAGGGCTGCCATCAGAAATTTTGGGGCCCCTGACACAGCTCAAGGTCTGGGCCACCCCGGTGCCTGCACCCGATTCCCTCCCCCGCACCCCCGAGTCCGCCCACAGGGATGCAGTGTCTGCAGGGCCGGTGCAAGGATTTTTGCCGCCCTAGGCAAAAGTAAAGTTTGCCGCCCCCCATGTGACATCACAATACCCCACCCATATGATCTGCCATGTTAACTAACACAGTGCTGCAGTGCCGCCGTGTTTACAATAAAAGGCTGCAGGAACAGGCTATAGACACCGGAACCACTACATTAAGCTGCAGTGGTTCTGGGGACTATAGTGTCCCTTTAATGTGAGGTAAATTAGAGATTAGTGCCACGAATAATATACTAGATTGCCTACTTACAACC